GGGGGGGGGGGGGGGGGGGGGGGGGGGGGGCAACAGTAGTCGGTCATATCGATCGATTGGTCCATTGTTTGCGTTGAAAACACCGACCGTTTACGGAGTGCAAAACCACAGCAGCGTGTTTGTTTGGCTAGCCTCGACAGTGCCAATCGGCTGACCGATCGAAATACGCCAGTGAGCCTTCATAAAGCGGGGACACAACAACGTGACACGCTTATCAAGTCATGACGGGTTCATGTGCCTTGAATATTAGCATCGCCTTTTACCAACGAAAGGAGGTATGGCTCAGTGCGGCTGAAAAACAGCAAAACATATTCAAAAGGAAAATGCATGATCTGGCTGGGAAACCCGTGAGTGTGTGTGTACCAGGTACCGTACCGGGTATGTTTTCCCGTGGTTTCGTCCCATCTATCCTGGGCGCCAGCCTACACCTGCCGGGTATAATGCCGTGACGTACAGTACACTGCCGCCGCCGGGGTGGCGTAACAGGGAATGCAAAACACACGAGCTCTTAGTCGCAAGAACAACAACAGTACGTTACTCATGCATTCCCTCAAAAGCGGGGAATCGCGTGATTTTCACGGGCGTGTAATTTACACTCGAAGACATCGTACGATTCCACATGCGCGGGTACCTGTAGCTGCCCGCGCATAGATTATGATACCAGGCACATTTCACACTGCCGCGCACGAAGAGCGCCCACACGACTCCAACCATCCACTACCAACAGAGAAACGCATTCCTAGTGGGGGGTGGTACACTCGAAAAAAAAAAAAAGAAGAAACCCTACAGTATCACCCCACCTCTTGGCCCTTGCAGCTCATCCATGCCGCGGCGTCTTGCGATCCTCTAAGAATCACGGGCATCCTGCGCTCGGTCGTTACAAAAAAAAAAGACAATAACATCACAACAAGTACAGGAGCGGGTTGGTTCGGTGGCGTGTAACATGTACATCTCTCTCGTACAACAGGTTTCACGCGGAGGCGTGCGTGGTGAAACAACCACCCCCGGGGGGGGACTGCGACAAAACAAAGTGCTGGGAACGAAGGAAGGAAGGACAAGCCCAACAAGAGTCATGGAGGAGGAGGTGATTTTCGGGAATCGGGGAGCATTTGTCCTGCCCAGTTGTACCAAAAAAAACACAGAAAAGTGTAGCACGCGTCTCACCACGAACAATGGGGGGCTGTCGCCATAACAAACAGGACGAAAACACACACACACACGTCTTTTCTAAAGCGAAGGGAACCGGCCTTAGCCTTGCACTACACCTGGCCCCGCTGCTGTTCAACTTGTTCTTTGCCGCGATGCTCATGGTCGCCGTGGCCTAGTTCGATAAGGACCCCAAGGTGACGGCGGACATGGTCAAGATTGGGACACACGTGGGGTACACGGGCAAGAAGGGCAGATCGGCGGGGAAGAAGACGACGGTGGTGACGGACGCGGAGGTCCTGTGGGCCATGCTCTACGATGATGACGCGACCATCGTCTCGCGCTCGCCGGAGAGTCTCGAGAAGGTGATGTCCATCATCGTGCGCGTGGCCGGCCTGCTCGGACTGATGGTATCGGAGCCAAAGACGGAGATCATGTGCATGCTGCCGAAAGGGATCGAGGAACGCCCGTTCACGGTCAGCGCCGCCGGCCAGACGTACAAGCAGACAGATCGGTTTGTGTACCTCGGACGTACCATCTCCGCGGACGGGAAGGNGGACGTACCATCTGCGCGGACGGGAAGGACGACCGGGAGATCACGAGCCGCAGCTGCCGAGCGTGGGAGTGCTACCGCCGGAACAGTGCTTCGATGTACGACAGGCGACGGGCCGACCCCCAGCTCAAGGTCTGGCTACTCCAGGCTGAAGTAGTGGAGGCTCTCCTATACGGGTGCGCCTCGTGGAGCCTAACAGCGGAGCACTACACNGACCGGGCACTGCTGTAGAAGCGAGTAGGGCGTCCGAGGCAGCACTTGTGGCGAACTATGTACCCGGCTGATGTTGTTGCGCCCTGTTTCCCTCCCTGCTGTATGCTATACTCCTTCGTGTATGTCCTTTGCATGGCCTTCGGCCTTTGTGCTGTGTTCTTTTTACTCACGTCCTCTCTGCCTACTCTGCTGTGTTGGGTACTTTGATCTAGCTTTTGCTGTTGCCTTTGTTTTTGCTTTTATACATCTGGCTGTCTGCTCATCTGCCGCCTCTTTGTCCTGTATGCTCCGTTACTCCCATGCCCTGGTGCGTAGTGCCTGGTGCTGGTACGTTACACTTTAGTTTTTCCAAGCGGGTGTGGGAAGCGTCCTCCTTTTTATTTTTATCTTTGCTCTTGTTTTGTTTTGTTTTATATATTGATCGGTTTCCGAGGGCTCTTTTCTCGACCGGTCGGTGCGGTAGCTGTACTTTTCATCCTATCATTTTTGTTTTTGTTTACCCGCGGCGTCGTATGTGCCGGGTTTTTGCGACCACGGGCTCCCCATTTTTTGTGGACTATAGAGCTATGAACGTGAGAAAAGAAACAACAACAACAACTGCGCCACACCACACCTCTCGTGGAGCCACTCCAACCGCGGGGCGGCCTTAGTGGTGAGGACGGCGTACGAAAACATCAGGCTGCCCCCCCGGTCCTCCTCCTCCACCTCCCTCTCCAGGAGCGCCGCCTGCCCCCGTAACCTCCCCTCCCCCTCCCCGGCGAGATCCGCGTGCCCCCCACCCCCCGTCGTCGTTACGGCCTCCCCATCACCAATGCCGCCGCCGCCGCCGCCGCCGCCGCTGCTGCTGCTGCTGCTGCTGCCGGCCTTACCGTCGCCGCCGTTGCCGTAGCCTCGGATGGCGTCGCCGCCTTGTTGCCACGTGTCGTAAAGCACGGCGAGCTGCCATCAAATCGTTCCACGCGGCACCACGGCAAAACACACGGGCACGACGCAACAACAAAAATGGTCACGGAGAAACAACAGAACAGCAGCAGCTCGGCAGGCAACATCAGACAGGATGATGGCCCCAATGTTCACGGCCAGCGTGCTTGAGCGGCCCCAACTCCAGCAGGGTATGCAGAGCACCTTTTTCTTTCTCTCTAGTGGGTGCACTCGCGACTGTCACGGCGGTTGCGGGCGGGGCGGGGGCGGACTCGGAAGATTAACCCGCACCACGCATCGTGTGCTACTAATACAAATTACACTGCAAATCAGGATCAACGCCAATCAAGAGAGACAGCAGAACACGAATCGACAACGAAAGGCGGCGGGAAACAACCTTATGTCGCATACCAACACCGACAAGCGTCCGAGCACGATGCATAGTGTGCGTATGTGCCGTGCTACTGCCACCCCGTCCGCGGTGACAAGGGCCTAGACTTTTTTCTTTTTCTTTTCCTCGTGGACAGGGTCTAGGCGATTCACATTTTCCTGGTGACGGGGCCCCGGCAAATCATCGTTTTCCCGCCGGCAGGGTCTCAAATACATGTTCCTTTGGAGCGGGATCATCCTGCGAGTACCTTTTCCGGGCTTGACAAACAGACAGCCGAGAACGAAATGCTTGGCGCCATCATACACATCAAAACCGCCGCCGCGGGATACCACCACCCCCCAATATCAAAAGGCACAGCCCGAAAAACCTCCTGAAAAAAACCCAGAAACAATCAGCAGTGCGATACCGCACGCACCAGCAGGGGCCTGTCGTCCGCGTAGTGAAAGTAGTACGGTTGTCTCTCCCCCTTTTCATCGCGCTTCCACTCGTAGAAACCCGTGAAGGCTACCACGCCGTGCCGCCGCCCGACTAGTCGCCGAAACGACGGCTTTTCCGCAGCCTTTGTTTTCGTTTCGGCAAACAACAACAAGAAGAAACGACCGAGGAAGGAAGGGGTGGGCGGGGAATACACGGGTGGAATGAGGTTTTGAGTCGCCTTGCACTTTACAGAGGAGACAAAAGGATGGGGTAGATAGGGGTGGAATGAGGTTTTGAGTCGCCGTGCACAGTTCAACAGAGGAAAGAAGGGGTGGGGCAGACACGGGTGGAATGAGGTTTGTGTCGCCGCTCAAACGACGGCTTTCCCGCCGCCTTTGTTCTGGCAAACAGCAACAGAGGAAATAATGTGAGGGGGCAGGGGTGAGATTAAGCTTACGCCACCGTTCACTATTCGATTCGGGCATTCGCCAAGCGGGCTCAATGGGGTGCTTGCATATTCCTCCCTCCCACCAAAACACCGGTCTCAATGCAACTTCTCCTCTTCCGCAATGGGTGCCGACAGAAGGGGAAGCGTAACGGCAGAATGAATACCACCACCGAAGGACCGACAGCACGCGGTGGCCACGACATCGAGCACCCCACCACTACCACCGCCACCACCATCATTAGCCAAACAAAACCGATACGCACAACAAATCCCGGGGCACAAGACACGGGCAGTGCTGCGACGAACTGACTAATGCACACACACGCCGACGAAGAGCAACACGTGGCCGGGATCGCTTCGTACCACCCCACGCCGTTTCGTGCACCAATCCGCGAGAACGGCGACCCCTGTTTCAAAGAAAACGCCTCTAGAGAGCAAAAAAGAAAGGATCCCGGACAAAGTGAACAAAACAACACTGTCTGTACAGGGACAATTGCCGCTCGGACAGTACAAACAAAAAAAACACAAGCAGGAAAACAAGAACGCAAACCACGACAATCGAGAACCACTGTACTACCGAATAGCAACAAAACCGGGCACATCAACGCTGCACCAGAATTATTGCTGTGCTCGCAGGGAGGTAGATCGGTGTATGGTATGATACCGCTGCTCACCGTTTCGCTCCTGGCGTTAAACATTCGGAAAAAGTCGGGCTTATCGCCCTTCTTCGTGAAGGAAGGGACGAGGCCCCACCTTGTGGTGGTGGTGGTGGTGTTGTTGGCGTCGTAGATGTCGTAGATGTCGTAGATGTCGCCATCGTTACACCGCAAATATTTGTTGTGGACAAAGCGGGTACCACGAGCGACCCGGACAAGCACGGCGGACGGAAGCTTCGTAAAGCGCACAGACACACAGAGGCGGAGGTTCATCACGTCTTCAACAATGCCACTATTATCTGAAATGAAAAAGCAGAAAAGACGGGCGCGAAGTCTCGTCACAAATTTGCCAAGCAACCAAGGGCCTATTCATCACAAAATACGAAACGAAACAGAAGGACAGAGAGACGGCCGGGCCGCAACAATCTTCCACCCTTCCTCCCCACTCGGGTGCAGCGACAAAAAATATAACATTCTGCGAGCGAGATTTTGGTTCGAGCCTCCGGCGGGGAAAACAGTCAGGAGGACAGACAGAGAGACAGACAGACAATGCACAGAAGAGACGCTTAATGGAGGTGGAGGAGGAGGGTTCTCGGAAGAGCGGTGGATAATGCCGTGCAAGTAGCGCGTGCGGCGGGCCTCTCTCGTCAGCCAACAACGCAACGGCTGATGATGATGATGAAGGAGTCGTGTTTACTTGCTGTTGCCGTTTAGTCCTAATAACAACGTTGAAAGACCGCGTGATCGAATGGCATGGCTCGCAGCTCCGATGTCGAAGACTCAGCTCTGGGTGCTCCCGCATGCGATTCGGTTCAGGCATTCCGTGACCAACCGACCCGTCAGTGCCTGTCGCCGGAAGGACCGCGGCCGGCACGAACCCGCAAAGTCTTCCATGGTAACATCAAGATTTACTTCTAGTTGATAATCGCACTATAAATAGACGTGTTGAAGAATAGGTGCAAGGCCAAGAAGAACACAAAGAAAATCAAACGAGAGCTTGCACCACGTCAAACGTGCCTGTTCCAGATGGAGAAGGTAGACACGGGGTGAAACGTGTGTTTGGACCGTACAAACACTAGCGAGCGTGCATTGAGAGAGGCTAACCTCATCGAGCGGAGTGCGCTGCCGCCGCCGGTGGTTCTGTAGGCGATGGGAGTTGCGTTTCCCGGGTGGGCATTCTCCCTCCGCTGGTCTGCAGGTAGACAGTTCGCCAAGTGATAGGCACGGGGTTGACGCTCTCTTCGTGTGCAAGATGGAGACAAGAAACACGTGGGTCTTAATATACACAAAACTTGCTTTGTCCTGTTATGGACTGCCCCCCGAAAAAAGCAAGCGGTTGCCTAATATGACAAACGGGACGGCGCGGCTCGACAAACGCACCCGAAAATAGCACCGCAGAAGGGCATTCAGAAAGCGGAGAGTGAAGGTGTACATCTAAACTTACCTACACCAAGGCGTTTGAAGGATTTGAAGAGGGCAGGAACAACAGCACACGCAAGAGCATGAAGCACAGATTCTTGGCGACATCGACACTCTTGCCCAAAAATGACCGTCGTCTTTGCGACTCTCTCCTCATTCCCGCTTCTGGTTGGGAGCCGGCGTTCAAGTATTGTACCCAAAGACAACACTGAACCATAACACCGCTTATCCCATCAAGTATCTACCTGCTTTGCATATATCAAAACTAACGTGAACAATGGACAACACAACCAAGCGCAAGCGTGCCAAGAAACCCTGCCGTCATTTCACATCTGTCGGTGCGAGACATGACTCATAATGCTACAAACAACACCCGCGCTATTGCGCGGTGGCGACCCTGTGGCGTGTCCACGAGAATGCAGTTACAATACGAAGGAAGCTCCTCCTACTGCTGTACCCGGCTTGCTATTAGCGGGCGGGGGGATGTACTCATAGTCGTGCGTGCCGTAGTCGTTAGACCATTGACCTCGCATCCCTACAAAGCCGGGACGGAGCACGCC